CATGGAAACAACTTAAAGGTCCATCAATGGATAAGTGGGAAAAAATGGAGTATTAGTCACCTATAAAAAGGAAGGAAATCCTTACATTTGCAACATGGTTGAAACTTGAGAGCATTTTGCTAAGTTAAATAAGTCAGACAAATGAACGCTGACTACAGATCTGAGGCAGCCAGAAGGGAAGGAGGCCAGGAATGGAAAGTAGAGAGGAGTAGAAAAAAAGGCAGGGGGAGAACACAATGGACATGGTGGAGGACTAAAGGGTGCTGTGGTGGTGGGACACCTGCGGTGACCACACCTGAGGGAAGAAATCCTATACTGTCAAAAAATTAACAAGGATGTAAGAAAAAGGTACTTCATTAAAAAAATAAATAAATTAGGGCCTCCCTGGTGGTGCAAGGGGTTAAGATGCAGCCTATGAAGCTATCCGTAGCCATTGCAGCATGAATTCAATCCCCAGCCAGGGAGCTACCCACATGGTGCAGCAGATCTCTCCTGTCCACCCCCTGCTCCCCTCAGTCAATATGCCTGTTGTGTTCCCCACTCTGTCTCTAGTGAATCCTCTCCCCCCCAATACCTCTGGCCTGTACCCCAGTTCTTATATGCATAAATAAAAAATCTTTAAAAAAATTTAAAATTATATAAAAAGAAAGACGTCAAACAAATAAAGACAAATAGTGTATGACCTCACTAACACGTAGAATCCAAAAATAATGAACTCACAGAAACAGAAAATAGGTTGGTGTTTGCCAGAAGCAAAGGGAGAGGGTTGGGAGAATTAATGAAGGTACAAAAAAGGTTTAGACTTCAAGTTATAAGATAAATAGGTGCTGACGATGTAACATACAGGGTGGCAACTGCAGCTAAGAGTACTGTATTATCTGTTGTATGGTATACTTACAATGTCTCTCCTCATGGAGAGGGCAAATAAGTTCCCTGTGAAAAATGAGTTCATGGATATTTGGGTGGCAGAAAGTTCTGTTGTGGCAAAAACAATTTGTGGTCTATCAATATTTACTCTTCCTTTCATTTTATTTCATATTCTAGAAATCCTGAGTTTTAGGTGGGCATGTGGCTGGCTGCCCAGCAGGAGTAGCCTTTCTAGCCCCATCAAAGGTAGGAATGGCCACATGTTTAAGTTCTGCCAATGACAGGGGCCACTACTGGGTCATATCCTTTTTATTTTATTTTATATATTTTTTACATCATTTTTCATTTTTTGTACAATGTATGCATTTTTATCGTGATTATAGTCCCCGTGAAATTCCCACCACCCATTCACCCAAGTCCCATCACCCTAGTCCCTTGTGTTCTTCCCATCCTGTTTTGATCCTATTCCCTTCTCTCCCCTTGCAGAATGTCTCTGGTTTATAGTTGCCTGTTGATTTTGATTTTTCTTTATTATAATTACTTTTATTTTTCAAGGAATGCATATGTACTCCTCTTGCCTTTCTTTCTACCTATGGCTGAACACTGTTGTGATGGCAAGAGTCCGAGACGCTTACACTGGACAAGGAAGCCAGGCTGGAGAGTGGAAAGCTGTCCTAACAACCCTACCTAATCTATTTGTTAGGTAAAATGAATAAACTGCAGTCTTTTTTACACTATTATATTTGGGGGGAGTTTCCCTGCTCTGGCAGCTTAGACTAAACTAGTCATAAAGTGATACAAAAACTAGACAGTATCAGTACTAATGATTTCTTTCTGCCATGCTGGAGGAGAATAAAAATTGTTTTAAAGCTTCTCCTATTTTGGCAATGGGATAGGACGGAGAGGCCCTGAAGGCAATACTTGAAAGAAATTTGATTTGTGTCATTAGATTTGTTTCTGTTTTGCTTTACTGAACTAATAAGTAAACATTTGTCTGGATAAGGGAAGCTAAGGATGCCTAAAGATTAGCTAATGAGGATTTTTATGGGAGAAAGGAAAGAAACAGGAGGAAGCATTAGGGGATAAGGTTAAAAAGGATTTAAGACATTTTTCAGAACAGTCAATATAAATTTTCCTAAATCAACATTATTTATACTTTTGAAGTTGAATTTAATTTTTTTGGAGGGAGTAACACTAGGTTGAAATTACCCTCAAGGTGATAACAAAAAGTCAAAGAAGGTTATGATACAATAAATCCTAAAGGGAAATACAGAATAAAAGATTACCAGAGGCCTAAATTATTAAAAATGTTGCCACCAAGGCAGGGAGAGGGAAAAAAAAAAGATGGAAAAGGAAAATGTGAAAACACATTTTGATGTTACAATTTTGGACAGAGCAGTTTCAACAAATGACAGAAAGTTAATATTATGGATTAATTTTACCTATTATTGAATAGTCTGTGATAAAAAGTAAAATTTATTTACTTGAATTATAAAGATTTTTAACATTGAAGATTTGATTATAAAGAAACAGCAGTTGTTATAAATCAAGAAGTATTCCAAATCACCCAATTTTAGCCACGCACAAATGAATCTTCTAATAACATGTTGCCCGGAAAAGTGCATGTGAAATAGAAGTTATTAAGCATATACTCCTATAAAGTTACTTTTAAAACCTGAGGTTCAGAAAGTTTCTTTTTTTCCAAAAGTTGTCGCTCTAGCAAATATTAACTTATCCACACAAGTTACTCTGCAGTAAACAGTGAAGTTCACTGTGGAAATCTGAACTCATTCCATATTCCCTTCCATGGCACAAGATGCTTTCTGAGGTAGACACACAGATTCACCACCCAGATCCTTCTTCAAAGAAGGACCAAGGAGGGGCCTCCCTGGTGGCACAAGGGGTTAAGCACCGCACTATGAAGCTATCCGCAGCCTCTGAAGCACGAGTTTGAACCCTGGCCGGCCAGCGAGCTACCCACATGGCGCAGCAGACCTCTCCTGACTCACCCACTGCTCCCCTCAGCAGTGTACTTCAATCTGCCTGTTCTGTTCTCCGCTTTGTCTCTGGTGAATCCTCTCACCCCCCATGCCCCTGCATCTCTGCCCTGTACCCCAGCTCTTGGAGCATAAATAAACAAATCTTTAAAAAAAAAAACAAAAACAAAGAAGGACCAAGGAGCCCAGGTGTCAACAGCCAGCTTCAGCTGACCACCCTTCAAGGTCTGCCTCAGCCACAGAAAAAGCTGCCTTGCCTCCTTCAAGTGGCCCACTGAAATAAGTGGGATTAAAAGGCCCAGCCATTTGTAACCCTCACATGCTCTCACTAGGGTTGGTCGAGGACATGGTAGCTCCAAATGTCCCTCTTCTAAAGCTTCCCTCTTCCTCCTTCCAATCCTCCATTCTCCCCCTCCTTTCCTGATATTAATTCTAATAACACCCTCTGTATGCCAAGCTCCGTCAGTGTTTGCTTCCAGAGAAAGCAAATGAGTTGTCTGGGTACCAAAAATGAGCTTGGAAAACTTGTAAGAAGATGGCCCTCTGTCCATCTGGTTGGCAATGAAGACCATTGTTTCTTAGTCTAAGTATTAAGGTCATCTGGGGAAGCCCAAGTTCAGCAAAATCTCCTTTTAAATTTCATCTTGCCATGGGAGTCATGCCAGCTGGAAAGTTGCCTTTGGCAATTCTGGAAAGACTTTCTGGGCTGGTGAAAGGACCTTCTCAGCCACTGGTTCACCATCTTTGGAACAAACCAAATTTGACACCAAGCCAATCTCTGAAACCAACAAACTTCAATATTTTATGAAAAGCATTTTTTGTTTATTTTTTAGTTGATTAAAGACTTTTGGCCTGTTTTGCTTTTATATATTTACGTTCCTGTTTGTGTGTTTATCCCTGGAAGCAATTTGGCAGGAAAATGGTGTTTATCTAATTGTATTTTACCCAAAGTATACAGCTGAAGAAGAGTCATCTTATTTTAGTGTTGTATAGATGACTTACCAAAGGATTTTAAAACTAATAAAATTAACACCCTCACAAAAATCATGGCAATTACTCCTCATGCAAACAAACTCAAAATTATCTCCCCATTTTGACAGCCCTTCCTTCGACGAGAGGAGAAACCAAGAGTTGAGAGTCAATTTGAAGTATTTGGGAAAATTATTCAAAATCAAAGCCAGAATCTTGAAATCCATAAAATCTATACAAAGTTCTAATCTATATTAGCTATACAGCTCCCTGAAGATGATGCCAAGCAAATAGCTCTCTTTAAAATGAGAGACAGTGTAGTGAGAAAGGAAAGGGGGCGTCCCTGGTGGCCTAGGGGTTAAGTCTCAGCACTATCACCGCTATGGCCTGAGTTCAATCCCCAGCCAGGGAGCTAACCTACATATGGTGCAGCAGACCTCTCCTGTCTCACCAGCTGCTCCCCTTAGCAGTATATTTCAGTAGATCCATCTGTTCTTCTCCCCACTCTGCCTCTGGTGGATCCTCTTGCCCTCCCACACCTCTGGCCTGCACCCCACTTCTTCTATGAAAAAATGAACAAAGGGCCTCCCTGGTGGCGCGATGGGTTGGGCACCGCACTGTTAAGCTGTCCACAGCCTCTGCAGTGCCAGTTCGATCCCCGCTGGCTGGTAAGAATCCCACGTGGCGCAGCAGACCTCTCCTGTCGTGCCCACTGCTCCCCTCAGCAGTGTATTTCTGTCGTCTGCCTGTTCTGCTTCCTCCTGTCTCTGGTGGATCCTCTCACCCTCCCACGCCTCTGGCCTGTACCCCGGCTCTTGTATAAAAATAAAACATATCTTTAAAAAAAAATGAACAAAGTTGGTTTTTTTGTAAAGAAGGACAGGAGACAAAGAAGTGAAGGCACGTGAAGACTGAGGCAGAGATTAATGTGTCTACAAGCCAAGGACACCAAGAATTGTGGCAGCCAACGGAAGCGAGGAGAGAAGGATGGAACTAATTCTACTCCAGAGGTTCCAGAAAGAACCAACCCCACTGACATCTTGATTTAGGATTTCTGTCCTCCAGAACTGTGACAGAATAAATTTCTGTTGTTTTGAGACACCCAGTTTGTGGTAATTTGTTACAGCATCCACAGCAAACTAAGACAGACAGTGAGCAGCTACTTACTTTCATGGTGCCATAGGCTCCCCAGTTGCTGAGATAAGCCTTGACTTCGGGCAGAGCCAAGTGTACTCTGAAGAGCCTGCGTATTAATGTAGCAGGGGTCGTCGAAGAGATCCACTCGACATGTGTGTTTCATTAATGAGGTGTCTCGTTGGGACTGCACCCCTCTCTCATGTGCATTACCTGTAGTGATTAGTCATGATCAATGTGTCATGTTTTTATTTTGTAAATAATAAGTAAAATCATGTTTGAGTCTAGAATTGGTAGGAAGCAAAAAGTCACTCCTATCTCAAACAAGAGTTGAATATTGACTTTTAAATTTGACCTGTAAAAGCATAAGTCTTGAGGGATAAGCATAGGTCTTGAGGGAAAGCACCCTCTCACTGGCCTCCCTGCCCCATCCCTCAACTGACCCTTTGTTTCCACAAGCAGACTAGAGGCAAGGCCGTAAGCTCCAAAAGAATCACCAGGGGAGAGAGAGGGCCCCGCTATCCGCCAACAGCACAGAGAGGCGCAGCACTCCACAGAGTTGCCGTCCAGGAACCAAGCAAGCTCACATGTTGTGTGGAAGCAGAATGTCTGTTATTTAAAGCTCTCCTCAAAAAGCCTATTTCTTAATTTAAAAGCACTAAGAATGGGATGTATCTTCTCTTTAGGTTCAAAATTGTTTCTCTAGGCTCAGCCTCTACCAGCTGCTGACGTTTACTCTGTTATCTACGGAAGGACTCTCCCCTTAGGCCATATCCTCTGTCCGCCTCCTCCAGTCTCTCCCTCTCCATCCTATGTTGCATATTGTGGCCCAAAAGATCGTGTCAATATGGAAATCTGATCATAGTTCTGAGAGACTTAAAAACCCTTCAGTTACTTGCCATTGCTCTCAGGCTAAAGCTCAAATTCTCAGACAAGCTGCAGGCCCTGGGCCCACCATCCAGTGTGTCTTGCAACCGTCTCTTCCCGGTCTCTGCCCATGCTCACACTGATCTTGCAGTGTAGTTTCCACTTAACTCCATTTTCTATGAGTGACATGCACTCTCTCCTTTGCCATTACCCTCATTCTTCAGGGCTCATTTTATATTTTTATTTATTTATTTATTTATTTATTTATTTATTTATTTATTTTAAACTCTATTATTTCTTTTTTTTTTTTTTAAGATTTATTTATTATTTATACAAGCACTGGGCACAGTCAGAAGCGCGGGAGGGTGAGCGAATTCACCAGAGCCAGAGCGGGGAGCAGAGCAGGCAGAAGGACCGAAGTACACTGCTGAGGGGAGCAGCGGGCGGCAGGAGAGGTCTGCGCGCCATGTGGGACCCTCCTCCGGTGGCCGGGGAGCAGCCGGGGATCGAACCGGCGCTGCAGAGGCTGCAGGCAGCTTCGCAACCCAGCGCTCAACTGCTGCGCCACCGGGGAGGTCAGGGCTCAGTTTAAACTTCACTTTTTTAGGAGAATCTTCCCTGATCTTCTCAAACCAGACTAAGCCTCTCTGCTTTCTAAGCTGTTTGAACCCTCCCCTTTGAAGCCCACCTCACAAGAATAGTTCATTCTATTGCTTATGTTATTATTTTTTTAATATCTGTAGTACATGTGGATACATGTCTTGTGAAGAGAAAGACCCTGTCTGTCCTGTTTACAGCTACAACCCTTGCTTCTAGCACAATCTGACACATATGACATTAACAGTCATATGTGGAATGAATGGATATTACCAACATATTTCACTATGTAGGGGCAAGAAGTGCTGTATACCATCCAGAGAGTTTTTCCCTAAGAATGTCAGGATAAAGTACTTTGCTCTTCTGTTGAAACAAGTTTACTTATCTTATTGGCCATACATGTTATAAGATTACCATGAGGCTGCTCCTGAAGTAGTGACATTGCCATTCCATTGTCCTATTGTAAAACCACTTGAGTCCTGTTGTTTCAGCCATTAAAGCCCTTCAGTGTGGGCCCAAAAGTGCCAGCTTTATACTGGATTTCATAAGATGCTGAATAATGTTATAACATTGTTACAAAACAAAGCAAAGAAACCTAAGAGCACACCAGTTAGCAAACTACAGCCTTATAACCTGCTGTCCCTTCACCTCTGTCTCACTGTCAACTATTACACAATACCGGTGCCACGCCACGCTCATCCTGAGAGGGGACTGTGACTTATAGTGGGAAGTGTAAGGGGTTGGTTAAACTTACTCTCACAAGCAAATAGGTAAAAGATCACTACAAAGAAATCAATGTGGGGGTGGGGGGCTTCCCTGGTGGCATAGGGGCTAAGACTCAGTGCTCTCATGCTATCACCCCTGTGGCCTGAATTTGATCCACAGCCAGGGAGCTACCCACATGGCACAGCAGACCTCTCCTGTCTTGCCCGCTGCTCCCCTCGGCAGTGTATTTCAGTAGATCTGCCTGTTCTGTTCCCCACTCTGTCTCTGGTGAATCCTTTCACCTCCCCCCCCCACACACGCACACCTCTGGCCTACACCCCAGTTCTTCTATGCATAAATAAATAAGTAAATATTTTTTAAAAAAAGAAATAAAGGAATAAGATAATTATTTTACTCTTAATACAAGCTCCTCCTTAGCTGCCTATTGAGCTTATAAACAAGAATGAGCTAATCAGATCAGAATTTGGCTTCCCAGAAGTTAAAAGTGTCAAGATTTGTAAAGTGGATTTACATCTACTTTCTTTATCAGTAAAAGTTCTAACTGTATGTCAGACTTTCAGTTATTATCTAATAATAGCATTCAATTACTGTAATTAATGAGACTTTGTAAAAAATGTTTGTTTTTTCTTAAATCTAACTTTGAAATTTTTCACTTTTGTGTTTCATAATACCTGCACATACTAATATTTTGTCTACAAATTTATACATGATTGAATTATTTATTTAGGAGTACTCGCTCATAAAATTTTACTGAAAACGGAATATGATCACAAGTGCAAAAGGTTTGCTTCTAAATTAGCATGGAACTGAATTCAGATCACTGTGGTATCTCACGCTATTTATGTGACATAGAGCAGGTTATTTAACCCTCTAAGACTCAGCTTTCACATCTGTAAAATGGGGATGCCTAGATTTACTGCTGCAAGCATGAAATGGAAAAAATGTTGATGAGACGATAAGCATTGTGCTGCTGTGTAGTCAGATGAAATAAATACTTCCCATCACTGATGTTGTTTATTCATTGATGCTGGGCATTTGCACACAATGCTTATCTCATGCTACAATATCCACCCTTCACTTTTCTTTACCCAAATCCTACTTATCCTTTAATATTCTGCCTGAATCCATCTCTTTTAGGAAATCTTCCCTTGAGTCCTCCTTTGCCCCTGATTGGGTAAGGTGCTACTCTGTGATAAACTATAAGCATCTGTTTACTTGCCTGCTTTGCCTTTAAGACTGAAAATTCCTCTAGCACTTGCAGAGAGATGATAACCCCATCATCTGTGTATCTTCTGATCTTCACTTACTAGTATGAAGCAGGTGCTCAAAAGAAAATGTTTGTCATCTGAATGGGTGTCTACCCAATTTCTCTTTCTTTGCATATTTGATCCTACCATGTTCGGAGGACCCTGAGTACACCTTTAGCACAGGACACTAACTCATCTGTCTCTGCTGGGCATTGGCATGAGCTGACCAAATCAAGTTTACTGTACCATAGAATTATGCAAGCATTTCAATGTCTATGCCTTGAAAAGTGCCATTCCTTTCTCTAAACTCTTGTCATTTTATTTAAGTCAGCAATGTTGTTCTACATTAAAACAAAAAAATATATATTATGCACTAAACCAAAATTTTAACATTTTTTAGAATAAATTGTGTGGCTGATGAGAGCTTAACACATCAACCATTACGCATTCCAAAAGTTCTTTTGGCCAAGTATTACTCTTAGAATCTATCTGAGGTGCCTAAGAAACCATCAGTAGCAGAAGTAATTTATATACAGTATATAAACTATAAGTACCCAAAGTTTTAAGTGCAAGCCCTCAGGGTTTATGGGAATTTAACATCTTTTTGATTAAAAATATCAACATTTTCATTTTAACTTGAAGGTTGGGGAAACATTATTTTGCTAGGGATTTTTTTCCATAAGGGAACTTAAGATTAAGGGCAGAGATGATTTATATTTCAGTATATTGCAGTACTTATAATAAACCAGAATTCAAGTTTTAAGTCAATAAATGGATAAATAAGTCTCCGGGAGGGGGAAAAACCAAAGCTTATTGAAAATATTTGTATAGGTGTCTCACAAACGCTCATCTATGACTCTCTAGGAAAAGTCATAAAAACTGTCTATTTGCTATTCTGACAACTACTGCTAATTTGCTCACTGGTCAAGAATTTCAGATCACTTTCTAAACGTATCATCAAGAAGCCACAGGCAGGCCCCAAGATAGAAACACCTGATTTCTGGAAGCTTATGGGTCAAGAGGACACAGGAGCAGGAAAGTCCTTCCTGCCACAACTGGAGGGGCCTTAACTGCATGGCCCTGGAGCAGGGCTTGGAGCCATCTGTCCCTTCATGCTTTTAGTGCCTGCGGTTTGGGAAGATTGCTTCCAAGTGTCTGGGTTCCCACTAGAACTTAGAACCTGCTTCTCTAAGGAATCAATGTTGTAACTCAGTGATCTGGTGTATGGGGTGGGGGAGGGGTGGTATCTGACTGTAGCATTTTCTCTAAACTACAAACATCTCTCACATACCCAAGATTTTGAAAGGTTTCCAATTCTGGATTATTCCCTGAGGGTCACCACAAAGGAAGAGAGTGTGCCTCCATTCTCTGTTAGTCCCAGACTATCCCACAGTTAGGGTGTAACTAAAGAACAAGCACTTGCAATAGAATTTCTATTGCATGTGTCATTACAAGATATATGTTTAAGCTCCAGTGGAGCAAACCAGAATAGCAGAGTATAATGCACTTGCCTTGGAGATAGACATCATGGCTAAAATTAATTCTATGGAAAAATTTATTTCAGGCTCCAAGTAAACAATACTATAAAAAACATCTGTTCATGAGTTTGGATCTGCTCATAGTGCCTTCAGGCATATATAAGTTATGAAAGAATAAGGGCCTACATTGTTAGTTAAATAAGAAGTAAAATCAAGATAAAGAAAAAATAAATTGGGCCTCCCTGGTGGCACAAGGGGTTAAGCACCGCACTATGAAGCAATCCGCAGCCTCTGCAGCATGAGTTCAATCCCTGGCCGGCCAGGGAGCAACCCACATGGCTCAGCAGACCTCCTGACTTGCCTGCTGCTCCCCTCAGCAGTGTATTTCAGACAATATGCCTGTTCTGTTCCCCACTCAGTTTCTAGTGAATCTTCTCACCCCCTGCATCTCTGGCCTGTACCCCAGCTCTTGTATGCATACGTAAATAAATCTTAAAAAAAAAAAGAGAGAGAGAGAAAGAAAAAATAAATTGGATTTTATGACAAGGCGACCCAGAAAGAAAAATCTTGAATAAGGTTGAAATAGTACCTGCATATCCATTTATTTCTTCCTAAAAGCATGCTTTGTGTGGAAGAGTAATTTAAATATGTGAAATGAAAATCAAGGTGAGAACTCTTCAGAAAAGAAGAAAGGAATCCATGGTCCTGTTCTCAATTGTAGTGTTGTGATTTAGCACATTCAACATAATTCTAGAAATGTTAGGATTTTCATTCAGCAAGTTCCTGTCACAAACTAGGCAGCTGAGGACAAGAGGCATGTCATGATGACTATTTAATGGAGGGGAGGAAAATGAGCTGGGAAGGGAGGTATTCAGGCAGGGTTAAAATTTTTGGAGGTTCCTCGGACTCTGTCCTAAGTCCAAGACTTGTCCTTCCCTCCCACCACCCCAAGCTACAGGAGAGCCAGCTGTATCTCCATCCCTAGCACTTAGCACAGTGGCTGGTCCACAGGAGGCTCTCAGAAATAGTCACTGAGTGAACTGTTAAATAATGAAGAATATAGAATGAGATAAAACAGGCCATAAAGATACTTCCAAGTGAGATTCAGCACAGGAAGAAAATGGATTAAGCACTCGAGGGCATGAGTGGTATGTTCTGACTATTTAGTCCTTAGGTTGAGGATGTCCAGGTTGGGGGAAAAGAGGGAGAAAGGAATTATAGCTCCCAGGGAGCACATTTATAAAAAGGCATTTACACTTACTATTATTTTGATTTGTTTTCATCATATTATTAAGAATTAGTTTGAAATTTTAAAATAACTTTAAAGAACAACATGAAATTTTAATTTCCATCCAAAGGAACCATGTTTTTAAGGAATTTTAAATACTCTTCTCCGGAGGCCGGGGAGCAGCCGGGGATCGAACTGGCGCTGCAGAGGCTGTGGGCAGCCTCGAAACCCGGCGCTCAACCGCTGCGCCACCAGGGAGGTCCTTAAAGAATTTTAAATACTGCCTTAGGTCATGACTCTTGCTATTTTTGCAGGGTGAAGGAAAGGGATACTCAAAGCTGTACCGAAAACAGTTAACTCTTTATATTTCTCCACTGTTTAAAAAATAAGGCAATTAATAGATTGTATTGGCATAATCCATAATAAATATGAATGGCTCCTTGAAAGTGACTACCTTCTAGATAGGTAAGTTGTTACCAATTTGAGTCCTCTAGTGTGGTTATCTAACTTTATCCTCCTCTGCACTACAGTTCACTTGGTATTCTTAGATGCTCAGAGTCTTGCCTTCTAAAGTTACAAAACTTTACTGCCCAAAGAAATAAATGTTTTTAAACAATTTATAAGAATAAAATGACTAGTTTTTATGACATAATCTGATAGTTGGTGGCCCACATTTGTGTTGTGGAAAAATGCCCGAGGTCAATTATCATGTGCATTAGTAAGACATTTAATGCCCAGGCAAGTATGGGGTGAATGGGCCCTTCATTGGGACTCTCACATTTCAGATGTCTTTTTGTTCCCAAGAAGAAATATAGGTTTTATCTTAATCCGAATGGATTTGACAAGCATCTATTTTCACATTAGCTTATTGTCTGATCTTTGAAGTGGAACTCCCTTGAGTTTTGAGGAAAAAAACCCACCTTCCCAGGGAAAGAGCTTTCCAGATGTCGAAGCAGTGAAAGATCCAATAGGGAGAAAGAGAATGCAGTAGAGCACTCAAGACAGGGGAGCCACGAGCCTTCGGAATGGTACACAGGAGGCACTCTGGGCCTCTCGAAATATGAGGCGACTGGTAGCTGAAGCACTAGATGTTGCTTTACTTATGCCCGACTTTCCAGGGAAGTAATTAAAAGTACAGGCCACAAGACCAAGTTACTTAAAAGAAATAAGAAGAACGGCAGATGGGGAGGGTGAGTGTACATACCTATTGCCCTGCTTTGTTCTAAACAGTTCTCGTATACACTGCTGCACTTGGAGTTTCCAGGCTGTACAAACAACAAATTGTGAAACATTTACCATCACAGTGTACATTCATACATTTTCAAAAAAACAAAACAATAATGCTCCCTTCAGAATATAGAGGATAATTCACTGTACGACACAGGAAGTGTTTGACAGGTAAGAAAAGAAAACTGAGCATGTAGGTGAGGAGTGTAGACTCCTTTCAAAGGATACTGTTTGAGAACTGTAGAGGTGGATCTGGTTGGGGTGAGGAGTCCTAGAGGTGGTCAATATAAGATGTGCATCCTGAGGGTGACAACCTCTGCTGGGGAGGTCACATTCAGGATTCAATCTAAGTCTCACCCAGGAAGCGTGATTTCCAGGACTTTTGTATATATCCTGGCCATTTAGCAAACCTCCCTCTAACCGTGAACTGGCACTGAAGCCCTACTCTCTGAGGCTTGTGCCAGGCTCACTTTACATCCTTGAAAATATTGTGCTGCAATTATCCCTTAAACATGTAGAATGCTTTTCAGTAATGCAATGGGTATCCTCTGATGCCTTTGAGAAGAGCAGTGTCTATGCTTTAGAAAGATTCATTTGGTAGTACTGTGCAAGAAACTTGGGGGGTGAAATTCCAGGCCTGTGAGGACTAGAACTTAGTGACAGGAATGGAAAACAATGGGAAGATTCAAAAGATATTTCCAGGGTAGAATCTGAGTATATATGGTAGAACGGAGTTGATAGGAGTTCTTTCATCAATAGGTGAAAGAAACAAAAAACTGTGGATCAGTGAGAGTGGCAATGCCACTGATTAACGTGCACAAAACAGTAAAAGAATCTGTACATTTGAAGTCAAGGGGAAAATGCTATTCAATTTGAATATAAACAAACAAATAATATAAACAAATGCATGTACCATGAATACAAACAAATGCATGTACCATCACAACTCCAGCCATAAGCAAAGACTGAAGACAGAGAAGCTGGAGGAGTGTGGATACAGTGGGATGCCAGAGGACAGCCCAGGCCAAGGGCAGAGCATTGGAGAATTCTCATGTGCTGGTAAGATGGGGTCTTGGACTTACAGGGGACAGGATGAAAGAAAACAAATGAAAAGATGCAACTTACTTTGAAACACATCAAAAATAAGATGGATTGATGGATGATAAATGGCTACAAATGGATGACAGAGAAAATATAGTAAAATATTAATTGTAGAATCTAGATGGTGCGTATATGAGTGTTCACCACACAATTCTTTCAATTTGCCATATGTTTGAAAATATTCATAATAAAATGTTGGAAATTTTGACAGAGAAAATAGAGAAAGAAGGGGTGGAGGAAAGAAAGGAGGAGGGAAGAAATAAGAAAGAAAAGAAGCAACAGGAGATATGGGATGCTTATGACAGGATGGAAATGTAGTAGTAGCTAGCAGAGGAGGGATTTCAAAAGAAGAGGCAGCCATCAGGTATCAACTGCTATAAACAAAATCAGAGTATTAATGAAAAGGAAATAGATTTAGCCATTAAATCACTGGCGACAAAAGAAAAATCAGTGACCACTATAGAAGTAATTTCTATCAAGCAGCCTCAGGTCTTACTAGTGAGGGAGGAAATGCAAAGATAAAAACAGTGTTTTCTAGAAGTTTGTGGGTGGAAGGAAGGTGGGACATTCTTACTCGGGTTAGTAGTTTATTTACAGACAGAAAGGAAAGAGACAGAGCAAATAAGGATTGAGACAGACTGATAGCGAGAACAGTCACAGAGTTAGAGTTGGTGGGAGGGAGAGGGATGGAGAACTCAGGGCAGAGGAGACATTAGCTTTGGAGACCGTAGGTAATGGAGAGAAGCAAAGAGAATAGAGGAAGATTGGAGATGGGGATGGTGAAATTGAGGCTAATATATTGGGCCACCTTAGTCTTCCCAGTGAAGTAAACTATGAGGTCATCTGATGAGGACTAGTTTGGGGGATTAAGAGTAAAAACAATTAGTACAGGCGTCAATAATAATTCACTCTCTGGTTCTAGACTGAGGAAGATGAAACTTTCTCTAAACCCAGTATTTGGAAACCTTTAAATAAAGCTTTCCAGTGAGAGGGACAGCACTGCATTGCTAGTTCCAATGACAACAAAACATTACTTACCAAATAGCACAACTTTTCACATTGAATGGGGCAGTATGGCGTTTGTTCTGTGGCTTGAACTTTGATGCGCACATCTGAAACACCACCTACTGGTGGCTGCTTTCCTGGGATTTCATTGTAATACTCATGATCTCTCTCCTCAGCATGGCCATCAACATGCACCTCCTCACTGTAAGGGAAAAAAGAATCCCCAAGAGGCTGGGCGGGAATTCAAATGCTGTAGGGGATGCAAAGGGATCAGATCCATGCAAATCATCCTGAAAAATTTTGCATTCATGTTTTAAGTTTAAAGCTCTGCTTAAGTGATGTCAAACATCTGGATGGAAGCAATGAGATGGGTTGAGTTGTTCAGTTTTCTGCAGACTATTAAAATGGGGTAAACCAACAAAAACTGCCAAGGGTGAGATTTTTTTTGTTGTTCTAGTGAGATATTATATAAATATATACAATTCATATGTGTTTATATATATATATCTGAATTTCTGAATGTATGGCATATTTGTCAATAGGATATTAAAGTACCAAGTTTTCCTGAGTAACTCTCAAATGCTTTGATTGTCCCATTTGGAGAATGTTTTGCTCAAATAAAATTTAGATATTGTTCTTTGTATAGTGTCTGGCCCAGTTATTAAACCAAGATGGAAAAAAGAAAGAGAGCTATGGCCAACTATCTTGTCTGCACAAGTCTGGAGGAATATATGTGATTCACAAAGAAATATTAAAACCATATGTGGTAAGTGGGTAGATTTATGTAAACATGTATTGCTTTTAAAATTGAAACAGGGCAAAAAATAAATGGACTTCTCTTCCAAATTGGAATTAGTAAAGGTTTCTTATGAAAAAGAGTAAATCAAGTCTTTTTGGATTGAACAGATTCCACTGACAACCCACACAGTTTGTTGGGTTCATTACATGTCAACAAAATGAGAGCATTAAAATGTAGGCTCTGCCCTGGGAAAAGTTCAACATCAAGGCCTTTTGGTAAACCCCTCTCTTTTGCTTCCCTAGACCACCTCATAAAGGGAGATCTCCAAACCCAGCATTTGTTGACACACAAAAATGCAAATGCATTTAAAAGTGCCCAAGAGCTTTGTTTCTCAGGCATGAATTCTGCAAGCCAGAGGCCTCACTGCATTCCACACGTGGTGGAGTCTGACAGGCCAAAAAGGGGTCAGCTTTCACTGCGGACTTTCTGTGCCTGAAACAGAACAATCAGATTCTTATGTCACGTCATGTTCCGTTCTCTGCCACAGTTTAGTTGAAGTTAATCTATTTACCCTGCAAGCCAGCAAAGCAACAGAAATTCCTGCTGTATACATCTGAATTCTTATTTTGCTCTTTGATCTTGAGTTTTTAAAACTAAGATGCAAGTGATCCAGGTTTGAAACAAATCTAAGAAAATTGTTGATGTTTATTATGTTATAATACTTCATTCCTTGCTCTGTATTACATTAGAGAAACAGGGCTCATCCTGTCTCATTTTTATAGACGCCTTTAATTTTATAAGCAAGCAGAAGGAAATATCTGGACAAATATGAATTGGTGGGGGAGGATCACTATTAGTTTGGACTGACACTGTTCCTATGTGTAAGGAAAAAATTACTAATTTCATTAGTCACTTTAATAATTAATAATATTAATTTTTAAAGAAAACAAAACATAGTGAGTCAAATAATGATAGAACTCTTGGCTAACCTTTCACAAGAAGTATTCAAGGAAGAATTTTTCAAATACTGTTTAAACCGGAGTTCAAAAGCCTGACCTATGGTACTGATGACATCCTGGGCCATTCCATTGCGGCATTCCAGTATGTGGCAAGCTACAAGAGGACAAACAAAAAAGAGTGATATGACAGTACATTTTTAACAAGAGAAGACAGGAAGTCAAAATACTTCCAGAACATGGCAAATTAAAGGAAGTGTAGGGAGTAGCTAACAGAATATCATAAATGAATTAGCAAACCTGCTGCTATTTAAAAACAGAAGCCTGTGTTCAGGGATCACAAATCATAGGGAACAGTATTCTAGCCTTGGATAGAGTAGGGTGTCATGCTGAGGGTCTTGGAATATAAAGATCTAAGGCCTCCCTGGTGGCACAAGGGGCTAAGTCTCAACCTATGAAGCTATCCTAAGCCACTGCAGCACGAGTTCGATTCCCAGCCAGGGAGCAACCCACATGGCACAGCAGACTCTCCCGCTGTTCCCCTCAGCAGTGTATTTCAGTAGATCTGCCTAGATCTGTTCTGTTCCCCACTCTGTCTCTGGTGAATCTTCTCACCATTCGCACTGCTGGCCCGTACCCCAGTTCTTGTATGCATAAATAAATACATATTTTTAAAAATTAAAAAAAATATAAAGATCTAACTGAAATTAAATTTCATAAGGATGACTAACAGTCCTAAGGATGACTGAAACACAGAGGCAGTGAGTCTCGGGAGCAATTAAATAAAAAAGAATACTGATTTGGTTAGCCTGAAAACTGAAGGGATGAGGCAAAGCTCAAACAGTTAAATATATACAGTTGTAAAGACTGTTAATAATCCTCTGGGAATAAGAAAAGCTTAAGCGTGTGCTTAAGGAATTCTTTGATTCCATACTGGGAAAGAATGTTTCAACATTCTTTAGCAGGACATCCAAGATGTCTCTTATTCTCTCGAAATAAATTCTTCCTCCCTCCTCTCTCTGTATTGTGAAACCAACACAGAACACATTACAACAAGGGCTACATGAGGAGAGGAGGGGTAGCTGTCTTTATGGAGCAACTTAAACATGTTGACTTGGAAGCACAGCTTCAAGCACAGCTTTGTCTTGCAAAGGGTTCTGTATTTATTTAAATTAAAAAGCAATTCGTTCACATCTGATGGAATCTGCAGAACCTATAACAGTAGGTTACCATAGGATTTATAATGGTGTTTCTTATCCTTATGTTGATGATCCTCTCAAGGGATCTCTGGTAATTCTCATTCCAAAATTAACTTGATTTTAATTGAAAGCATTTATGTCTCTGAACACTCTGGAAGAGGCTGTGGGGTGAGGAAGTGGGTATTACTAAATGAAGGTATCAAATCTCCAAAAGTTACTTATCATTTCTTTTAAGGTTTTTTCTTTTATTTTAAACATTCTTTTTTTTTTAAGATGTATTTATTTATGTATACAAGAACTGGGGTACCGGCCGGAGGTGTGAGGGGTGAGAGGATTCACCAGAGACAGAGTAGGGAGCAGAACTGGCAGATTGACCAAAGCACACTGCTGAGGGAGCAGTGGGCACAACATTGGAGGTCTGCTGCGCCATGTGGGTTGCTCCCTGGCCGGCCAGGGGATCAAACTCGTGCTGTAAAGGCTGCAGAGGCTGCGGACAACTTCAAAGGTTGCATCTTAACCAACCTTGTACCACCAGGGAGGTCCTTAAGGCTGTTCCTTTAAAGAAGCAACTTGGATCCTGAAATAAACTTAGGAGCTAATTCTAGCCTTAAAAACCCAATTAAGATTATCTATAAATTCATATCTTTCCTACCAAAGGAAAATGTTTGGTCTGCCTTTAGACTGCTATTTTATATTGCCCTTTCTTTTTTTCTATGGTAGATTTAAACAATGACCAACACATAAAAGGTGTTTTTAAAATGTGTTGAATGAATACATACTGATTTCTCTGAATCCCGTTTGATAATTCTACGGTGAGAAACTGTCTATAATATTTTTGAGGTGAGACCTATGGGGAGCCCCCAGGTTCTTGGAGCTAATGATTGCATGGGTCATTTGTGGAAATGGTCTCCTCCTTCCTAGTCAAGTCTCAGATTCTTAAATTTACAAAGTGCCTTTGGAGATGTGCCCTCCAGTTAAGCCAAGAGAAGTTTTGTTACATTATGACAAGGAAAGGTAATTCATTTTAAATTATTTTGCTGTTCATCCCATGAATTCCTGGGCTCAACTAAAAGTGAAGTCAAGACCACAAATTTTATCAAAATGGAGATGACCATTTTTAAACATTTTAATTTTTTAAGATTAAACAGATGTAAAGAGATAAAAAGGTGAGGAAGATAATGAGAGAGGCAGGAAATTCATACATTATAATACACACATGCATAGGGACACACACACACATACAAGATAGTAAAGTGTATGTCCTGTGAGAGGAAAGACAGGAAAAAGCAAGGAATGGGTGTCCCTTCTTGCTATATAAAAATCCTATCCTTCCTCTAACATGATAGCTTAAACCCTCTGAGGGACAGGGCAAAGCACATGGGCATAAAAGAATGAATGAATCAATAAAATTGGCCCAATCATCCTCTACCATTTCTCATATATTTCTAAAATGGTTATCTTAACTTCTCTGATTCTGGCATTTTAAGGTTTTACATAATTTTCTGCTTTGCTTCGGATAAACTTATTAGTTACCTTATAGTTTTGGAAAAGATTAAACAGAAAAAAAATTTGGTGCTTGTCTCCATGAAAAAAACAACATTGGACGAAAAGGCTGACCATGTGCACATGTTCCACCCAGCCATACACATTTAGGAGATGCACTAACTTTAACAGTTCTATTGGTGCCACTCACATTGTGCTCTGTGAAAATAGTTCTTTTTTAGGTTGGTCATGGGCCAGAGGAAGGATGGGTTTGGACTCACATGCAAATATGCCCACTGCCTAGTGTTAGAACCATCTCCAAAAGTTTGGATAAGCTACCAGCTTGGCCAAGAATTGCCCAATCTGTAACTAATGGAAAGGAAAATAAGACAAGTATAAAAAAAAGTCCTGATTACCAAAAAAAAAAAAAAAGTGACTCTCCAACTGGAATCAGATAAAAATCTGATTTTTTTCATTCTACCCTATAGCCAAAGAAAGTCACAGTTGTACCCTATATGAAGGAGAATTTTTAGAAATCTTAAATTCTTTTTCATTTGGCTTTCTAATTGGGTAAGAGGCTGAGAACTCTTTTTAGATCATAACAAGGCCTTCTTTACCAGTTTTATATATTTTAATAGACCAGATTTTTGGTTTTGTTTCAGATTTTTTTGTTATTTTTATTAGAAAACTAAAAATTCACAAGTACAGTGTCTCAGATCAACCATCAGATGGTGCTGTGGGATCAAGTCACAGAGGCCTCCATCTCTAGGCAGAAACAAGCCTGAAGAACAAAGCCTGCAGTCGGTCGGTGGATAACTGATGTCCCCAGGCCAGTAGTATATTTATTTCCTAAACGTAAATATAAATATAAACAAAAAGGTTCATTTAAATTGGCTTTTCGATGTTTTTTTCCTTCAGAGATCAAAACCATGGCCTCCACATAGTCTGGATATAGGCCTCTTCATACACTTAACACATTTAAACCTTCCCTGAATGGCTACACATTTGAAGTAAAAGGTGAAGAGAACATAAATTTCCTCACTTATGGCAATTACAGGGGCAGGCTATATTAGTCAGTGAGAAAATTCAAAACATTCTTACTGGAACTTATCTTTTCTACAGAAAAGGCCTTTGATAAAATGAGAAGTTCAGTAAAGGGTATCAGCCAAGATGGAGAAGAGTGGCATCTGTCCTGACTTGAGTAATAAAAGTGAATCAAGCATAGAGGAGACAGTGGGGACATTCAGGACTATTTTCATAAAGGCTGGTTTCCTCTGTCTGTTTCCAATTCCTGTCAGCCATGTTCTCCTCATCCCTGAGGACTGACTTTACCCTTCCACTGATACTGTGCTTTCTGGGGTAACTACTGACCCCCATATTGCTGGACTGAATGGTGTTCACCCTGACTCCTTTTCAGTGTGTGACATTTGGGGACGTCTCTCCCAGAGAAGATTGTTTTTCCCCCTTCTTAAATGATACTCATTTCCTGATTTTCTCCTGTTCTCTGACACATCGTTGTCTCCACTGACTTCTGCCACTCCCTGAGGCCCTTGGGTTCCTCCTTTGATGATCTCACGTCTAAGCAGTTGGGGTCTTTCCAAGCCCATTAGTGAAATCCTAGTGCCTTTCCCCTGCCTCCGCTCCCTCTTGCCTCACAAGGCTTCTCCTATTTGTTGATCAATTTCCCCTGGTGAACCAAATTCACTAGATAATTTTAAAGCACTGTCTTTCTCATTTCATTATTTTTTTTAATGCAAAGATTTAAAACATTTTTTTCTATTCACAAATATATAAATGGTCAACGTAGGAGTTTTAAAATATAAGGACTCCAAGAAAAAATAACCACTACATGAGTTTCACTATCCATTAACAATTTGGTATGAGTTTTATCACCTTTTTATACTATGTAAACCTACCTCCAAAAAATTACCTGGGATCATACACAATTGATTCACAATCTGCTCCTTTGTACTAAGTGATACTGCATATTTCCCCCATGTGGTCTTCTATAACACTAGGTTTAATTGCTACATAGTACATCCTATGGATTCATTTAAAGAGCTTGCTATTTATGAACAGTGAATTAATTCATTTTTCTACTATATAAATAATATATGCTAATGATCTCTATTACTTAATATTTGTGCATGTTCTGGGTATTTCCTTAAAAGAGAAAGTGCTAGCTAAAAAAATATTTAAAATTTTTAAGACTTTAACAAAAATTGTCAAATTGCTCTCCAAAACTTTTGCATCTATACTCCTATGAGCAGTGTTCAAGAATAACTACTACTATAACCGCAATTCACCATTTTTCAAAGTTTCAAATTTGAACATGAAACATGATATCTAAGTATAACTTGTGTTTCTTTGCTAGTGAGGTTAATTTCTGTTTATTTTTTTAATGTTCCTAAGTATCTTGTAATGTTCTTTTGTATAGGTATGCTTATTGATTAGATAAGATCAGGAAAGTCATTTCCTTTTTCTCAACTTCAATTTCAGCTCTATAAATAAGAAATGACATTAATTCCTACTTCCTGGAGTGGTTGTGTGGATGAACAAAGTACTCCAGATAATCGTTGGCATAGGGTGAACTGCTTTTTCCCCTCTCGTTTCTCTGCTGGGTTGTTTCTCTACTGAATTTCTCTCTTTTTCTTATTTGTAAGAATCCCTGTTTCTTTAGTGACAAATCACACCACTTCAAATCAAACAGAACAATAATAATAGCTACCACTTATTATACAGTTACTACGAACCAGACATTGAGATATTTGTGTCATATATAATAGCTCATTGAATGAGATTTCATCAACCCTGCTGTCAAATAAATAGCTCCCATGTACTATTCAGTTCACAATTTTGTCCCAACTGTCCCTCCCCTCCTCAAGGCACTATACAGCATGACCACTCCTGCCCAGGGCAACATGAGATGTCTTCCAAACTCATTTCTACAATGCAGGACTGCTTTTCTGCCCTCCAATGTCACTTGTACTGATTAGAAAAATTACCATAGAATGGCAGAAACCAGAGTAATTTTTATGAAGTTTAAAAGCTCCAGGGGCTCCCATTGGTCTTTTGATGTTATGCAAAGCCTTCTACAATCTGCTTCTGGTCTATTTATCTTTTCAGCCTCCTTCTACTCCTTCCCAGCTCTGCAACTCCACTTTATACACACACGCATGCTCCATCCCAAATACATACTCCCAGATTCTCTTAACTCAGTTCTTTCCCCCGAGTTTTTATTCATTCAGGCCTCAAATCCTGATGCTGCCGCCCTGTGTCCAGACTGTTCTCTAGCCCTCGCCATGTCAGTGTGCATGCTACACTGACTAATTAGTTCAGTCCCTTGTACATGGATGTATGTAATTACTAATTATTTGTAGATTCCAAACTGTGTCAGTAGTTCTGTGCAGAAATGAAAAGTCCAGAGGCTCCAGCGAGGAGAAAGGACTTAACAACAGAGGTGTATGCAAGCAGGGAGGAGGGAGAGAACAGAATGGCTTCTATTGAGATTTTTATACCCAAGATAAACAAGAAAGAGAATGTGGCAACAGGAAAAAGCACAGTTAAGTGATAGAGAATTTCTAACTATTTCATCCAAGAAAATTGCCCTCTGCTTCTGAGTCACCTGTCTACCAGACAGAACTGTTTCCCTGAGGAAGAAAGGTAAGATGAGGGAGGGAAGAAAATGATGTTTTTCCATATGTTATCTCAGTTATTCCCACTTGAAGAAATTAAGTTTAAAGGAAGGGAAATAATTTGACTGAAGTCACTCAGATGATAAAATTATGATTCTTAACCCAGTCATTCCAGCAACTTTCTTATTTCCTATTCACACATGGGGTCTTGAGAAAAAACTGAAACCTCTATTAGGAATGTGTCTGAGTTGATTTTTTTTAATTATACATTTTATTTTTTAATTTATATATATTTTACATCACTGTTCATTTTTAAACAATGTTTTCTTCACTCCCCTCGCCCTCAGGTGTAGTCCCCATAGAATTTTCTTTACTGATTCACCTGTGCAGATTCTTTTCTTATCTCCCATATCCATTCCTTGACCTCAGTCGAAAGCTCTTATAAGTACCTCCTCAGAATCCCTGTGCCAGGATCCCCCAAGGTCCCCTTCAAGCAGCTCAGCTCTGGCCAACTACTGAGGCTCCACAACAGTGAACTGCACCAGAATTGTCTCTGGTCCTCCTTCACCTGGGGGAGGGGGGATAGAAGGACTTTGCAAGCATGTGGGATGTGGGCCCTAGTTAGCCATGACCCTCAGTGACTGACATTCGTGAAGAGCAATGAGGCACCCAGAGATATTCAGTGACTAATGGCAAAAGTTATTAATATCTCCATTTCCTGGCTATTTGCTTTTCCTTTGACCCTGTCCTTTTCAGAGTTGAAAGGAAAGACTTTTTGTCCAGAACCTTCCTTAAAACAGCATGCTGTTGTTAGGGAAGCTCAGGAAGCAATTAAGAGGTTGCTCTTTTTTGGTGTCCTTTGTTTTGTTCTGTTCTTACACCCCTCCCTCTGTACTAGGTCCTGTCTCTCCTACCTACTCAAGTGTTACCCATTCTACGTTATGTCATTGAGAGTGAGTCCACTTCAGTGGAGTATTGCCTAGAACTTGTCACCTATTCCCTCTTTTCTGGTTCATTGAGTCATGTTCTTTTGGCAAGTATTCGCTGATCACCAACTCTGTGCCAAGAGCTGCTCCTCGTCGTTTCTTTTCTGAAAATCAGTGTCTTCCAAATGGATTTCTCTGCCTTAGGTTTCTCACTGAATCCATCTACTGCATCCTGCTGCCAAATTAATCTTCCTAAAGATCTGCTTTATATAACAGCATTCTCTCTCCCATTTGCCCATGGGGTTAAGTCCCTACTTATTATCTCTGCCCTATGTGCCCTCTAGATGACTTTAGGCTTTTTTCCCCTCCATACACATTCTGCATTCTTGATATGTTTTATTTCATTTGCACCCTAGCATGTCATGCGCATGTCCACCTATGTCTTTTGTCTCTTCGAATTTTCAAATTCCACTAATAAGTGTTTCCAGGCAAACTCTATCCCAAGTGCGGCAGAGAACGTTGCCTAGCTTACAGGTTCTAGTTGGGAAGTGCCCTGATACTCATCCCTAAGAAGAGTCTGAATCTCCCAAGAACAGGAATGAGAAGCAATCTAACCACGTCTATCTAGAGGGTCAATGAACTAAGGAACCTCGTGCCCTTGACACAAAGTGTGGCTGGGAGATAAGGTCCTTAGGCCACCTTGTTAAATCCTAGAATGAGAAATTCAATCAACTCCCTTTTGCAATCAGTCATTCAACAAAAATAGTTATTGCGTATCATCTATGTGCTAGGCATTGTGATGAGTGGTTAGGAAACAAGAATGAATAAGATAAACAGGTTAATGCCTTCATGCAGCTTTGAGTAAAAAGCACAGATATTAAACACATCAACAAGTGAGTACATAAAATAACAAACATGTAGGATAAAAGTGGTAATAAGAAATTTTTATGATACAGCAGGATGGGTTACGCTGCTAGAGATAGGTGCTACAGAGCAAAAGTCTCCCTGAAGTAGAGACATTTAAGATGTGATCTAAATGATGAGATGATGAATACTCAGAATGACAGGCCAGGCTTTTGGACAGCAAGTGCAAAACTCAACAAACATGCACACTCTTACACACAAGCACTCACACCCAGGCCAGTTTGACTAATAACCTCACTGTCTCGCGTCATGTGTAATTCATTTGCCCATCTGTCCACTGGGGGTGGGCCAGCCAGGCCCCTCTATCATAACCAAAACACCTTCTCTTTTGATTATACAAATAGAGAATAAGCCTTTTAGTTTATGAATTGTTCAAATGACTGGGATTTAAGTACTACTTATATGTTTTTCTCTATTTTGATCTTCTAACAGGGCTATTTATTTCTAATTCAAAATTATCTAATATTTACAGAGCTCAAAATAGTACTCCAGTGGTTCTCATCATCCTGCATATTGAAAATAACTGCTTATTATTTTTTAAATTTGGTATACGCAAGCTCTTAAGAAAATCTAAAAGTTGCTTTCCATACCTCGATGATTAACTGGATCTTTAGCTACGTAGGCAACATAGTCTGTAGTATCCTATAAAAAAGGGAAAATGATTGCATTTTAAATAAATGGATTGGAATATTGAAAGATAAGAGTACATTTATTTAGGACATGATACTGAAGAAAGGACTTATATATTAATGTTTCTGTCTCAAGAGAAAAGAAAAGCATCCTAGGAAGAAAAACAAACATTTGCTACATAGTTTGGCACTTGTGGAGTTCACGTTCTCACCTCTTGGAAAGAAATATGAAGAATGAAAATTTGGAGGCAGACCATATCATTAAAAATAAAAGCAAATAGAGGTAGGGAATATTTCAGGACACATTCTTTTAAAATGGTTACAGAATATGACGGTCTTCTGTGTTGAAAGGTGAAAAAGCCAGGGTTATGCAATCACCATTGTGTCATAAACTAGAATTTTCCAGTTGTCCAAACAGGTATCAATTTTATCAGAAAGTCAGTCAATTAAGTGCAGAGTGAGTCCTACAGGTGTTGCTCCAGGAGAGTGCAAATGAACTCAAGAAACAACAAAGCAAAACTACAAGGCATTTTTCATTTGATCAATGAAAGAAAAAAAAAAGACATTTTTAAAAAAGAGAACCCATAAAAACCTAAGGATTCAAAAAGAGGCGTTGCTGACTTTTGTAAAAACCGACAAACAAAAAGCCACTTGGTAATTCTGACTTTTATTGAAAACAGTAAGCTGATGAAAGATAAGATTTTAATAATTAAAGATGCTTTTTGTTATCTCAGCATGTGTTTTCTCAGGGAAAAAACACACACAATGCCATTTGCAGAATTAGAAGTATGACTCTCTAGAGGGAAGATGCAATCAACTGGCAGGAAATAAAAGTCCATGTTTGTAATACCCTCAAGGACAATCACTTAATAACCCACAATGAATCATACAGGAAGTGGATCTCAGGGTTAGCATAACTTGTCTTTGGTTATTTTAAAAATAACACACACCTAAGTAAGTTACTTTTATGCAAAACAATAAAAGAAGGTTTGAAATACCTTCTAAATAAAGCAAGGTCACGTCTATGAGATTTGTTTTATATTAACTGAGAAGGAAAGCAACATTGTTGAGGATTTGGCTGCTATTTTTAAAGCTGAAGAGGTGACAGGATGCCAGCAATGCTGTCAGGTGTATGGCTGACAGGAGAGAGGTCTTGGAGTCTCTCTGGATCTCGGTTTCCTCATCTTCCAAGCAGCCTCCAACATCCTTTTAGTTTTAAAATCTATTAACTGTAAATATCTGGGAGAGTTTAAAGAATGTTAAAAGTAAAGCACAAATAATGAGGAGAAAACACTGGCAAGTGTCTTTAATTTTGCCAGACTCGTAATGCATTTTTGAGACACAGAAAGTATATACAACACAGAAACATCACCAAGGGATGATAGAAAGAAGACAAGTAAACTGTTTCTGAGAAGAGCATAAAGGTGAGGGTGAGTGGAGATCAAGAGGTGAAGAAGAATATCCAGTACTTTTTAAACTTGGGTGGGGATCTGGTGGGAACAATTAGGCCATATTGGGCTACAGAGACTTTTCTTCCTACTCCTGGTACCCAGTTTGCTGTAGAGTTGTAAACTGCTTCAGTGAGTCTCCTAAAAATATATAAGCCCATGTGCCAGCTATAGGGGCAACTGTTACCTCTGCCACTGTATATCAGACATGGTGCTAGCAGTTCACATGCAGCAGCATTTCACTTAATTCTCACAACACTGTGCAGCCTGGGTGATCATCTTCCACCTTACAGATGAGGACGATGTGGCATAGATGTAAGCCTGTCAGGTCTCCGTGACCCTAAAGCCTGCCTCTCCACCCTGTTGCCTCCCTGGCCTGAGGATAAAACTGTACTCGTGAGGAACTCTCATGCCAAGGCTAGGGGCCACTCTAGTTTTCTATTTGAAATTCAGTAGGCTTTTTCTGCAGCTGCAGACAGAGAGCTCAGAGGCCCCACTTAATTCAGTAGGCACAACCTTTCCCACAAGGACTAAGAATTCTTTTTGTACTGGCAGTGCCTTGGTGTGGTTGAAAGAAGTAAAGGACTAAAGGCACAGGAAGACAGTGTAAACAGAATCAGGGTTCTAGAGCACTATGACAGACATGAAGGGCCCGCCTAGTGATTAATGAGGATTTGTGCACTCATCTGAAAATGACAGCAATTTAAATTATAGGATAATTATTTCTCACACTACACTGAAAAAACACATTACTTTAAACACCTTAGTGAAAATATTTGCATTCCTCCCTGGATGACCTAACTGCAGTAGATTAGGAAGAGGAGAGGTTGCTGGCCTTTTCAGGTTAGACCCAGTCAACCTGCTCTGCTACCAAGTACCCCTTGGTGTCGCTGTTGAGGCCAGATTACAAGGTGGGATGGACAGGGGGTCAGATTCCGTTTGAGCTCAAATTGCAGCTCCCAAGCTCAGTCAACTGCCTGCCCCCTACTTGCTAAAAATGCACCATCAGCCATCAGCTGACTCACTTGTGGGGACCATAGAGCTCTTAAGAATTTGGTTTATTTTCAAATGGCAGCAACCTCAAACTAGAGCTCTTAGAATTTGGTTTATTTTCAAATGGCAGCAACTTCAAACTAATATTTTCATTTGAAAATAACTATACCCCAAATTGAAAGTGAGGAAGCAGTGAGGCCCAAAGTTGAAATTGAGTATCTACTAATAAAAGAAATAAAACAATTACTTGAAATCCTGAAAGGCTGTCTTTCACATGCTTCAAAGAAGTTCTGAGGTAGGTTGTCTAAGCTTGGCACACTTAGATACTTTGTCACTGGTAGCCAAGTAATTATTGAAATGTTTTTAAGAATGGGCTAATTTAAATAGCATTTAGGTATATATTTCCCACATAAAAAAGTGACACCAATACCCAAGGCAAGAACTTGCTTAAATACTTAGATGCCAGCAAACGAAGCAATGACAGAGTAACTTCACAACTTTTTTCCTTTCAAAGATAAATAATTATTTTCTTTTTAAATATTTACATAGATGTTAAAACAAATCAAAACTTTGCAAAGACACTAGATTTTGTTCTTACACCCATTCCATGCCTCTCTTGGGTTTCTGGGTTACATGTCCTATCATTTATCCCCTAAATCGTAATCCTCAACTGGAAGAAACCATATGTAGTAGACAGAAAAATAATCAACTATTAACTTGGAATTTGTGCCTTATTTCTGAAGTATATAATCTTTAGTAATAAATGCTTTGTAGAGAAAGCAATACATTCTCAGTAAGAACAAGGTCTACATATGCTCCCCATTTATTTCATTGAAGCTGTTGATGGCAATCATTTTGAAAATCATACTCTGCCCTTTTCTAGCCTTCCTACATTGACAGATAGAAGGGGAGGGAACACATGATATTACAGGGGAGCAAAATCCTCCTATTTCCTCTATTTAAACAGATGTTCTCCTTCAGTCACAGACTCCCTAGCTTCAAAACTCACAGTTTTGTTTTGGTTTTTGTTCTGGTCCAGAAATGATGCAGCAGAGAATCAGGAAATGACCCTCCACTTTGCAAAGTGACCTGGAGACAGAGACCTAGCTCAGTCCCCACACACTTGATGGGAAATGAGCACCACTGGACTCTGGGTAAGGAGGAACTGTGAATCCTCTCTTCCAGCCCAGCTGTCCCGCCAGGAGTTTCTGCCAACCTGGTTCCTCATAATTAGATGAGCTGCCTACTTTGACAGCCTCGCTGGTAAAAAGGCTTCCCTTCACATGTCAAATTCAAATGATTAGTAGTATCTGCCTGGAACTCTGCATTGAGAAGAAATCTGACACATGTATAATATGCTCATTTATCATAACTTTGACATTATCAACAAGAAACTGTTGAGATGATAATTTCATGACAAGTAACAAAACAGAAGGGTATGAACTCATCCATTCATTCAGATATTTCAAAAATCAGTGAAAGGAAATATTTTATCAAAAAAAAAAAACTTGATTACCTGCTACAGGTGGCTATTCACAAATTGTAGTAAGGTATTTGGAAAACACATGTAGTGGTGAATATGCTACACAGGGAAGTTTTTTTTAACTCAGAAAAAGAACATTTATGAATCAATACTTACAGGATCCCCTCCAGAGGCAAATGAAATAGACTGCATGTGATGATTGGCAATAATCTGGAAAAGATAAGCATTTTGTAATACGTAAGAAGCCAAAGTTAATTACTTCTTAGTCATACATTAAAAGGCACATATTTGTTCATTTGTGCCTGCTCAGTATGTTTTTGGAAACCACTCTACCCACGTTCCATTATATTCTCATTTAGACCACGAGGTTCAGGTGGGTTTCACCCAGATGGGTCTCTCACACTTAGTGTGAGAAATGCTAAGTTTCATCTCACTGTCCCTCCATGATGCATATTATCAGCAATACCCAATTAGACACTGTATAGGGGAAAGGGACATTTGCAAGAGTACCTAAGTATGAAACTAGCAAGAATCATGTCAGGCTTTTTGGAAAACCTCATTCAACACTATAAGTAAGACCTGAACAAATATAAATCACCTTTATGGATGAGAAGAGAAATTGTAAAAATACCAATTATCTATAATTTGCATGCAATTCTCATTAAAATTCCACCAATATCATTCAGGGAACTTTGCATGCTGCTTCTAAAATTCACATGGACGAATAAATATGCAAAAAGAGCTAAAGCAATTTTTTAAAAAACAAAGAAACGAGATTTTTCTTATCGGGTGACTAGACAATGACATATTCAAGCTGTTTCTAAAATTTGTATGGAAGAACAAATGTGTGAGAAGCACTAAGGAAATTTTTTAAGAATAGAGACAAGAGTTTCCTTATCAGCAGGACATAATTGTAAAACTCTAGAAATTCATAGAACACAAGCCTAAAAACAAACTCATGTTCACAGACTTTTAGTCTGTGATAAATGTGGTACCACAGCAGACAAAAGAAGTGAGTAGAGCTGACTAAATCAGCTCTTTCTCCAGCTCTCTGTAGTTCTCAAAAATATTGGGAGACAGATTTTTGAGGTAGGAAAATTCATCTCAATAGAAAGAAGATACACAGAAGAATACCTTAAATTTGATTACGCAAAAACCCATTTTAAAACTGGTGTTAAGAGAAAGCACCCCCTGAAACAGGAAGGACACACAACAACAGGCTTGGAGACTATATTTGCAACATCTAAAACAAAGTATTCCCATGGCTTATAACCAGTAAGAAAAAAAAAAAAAACCAAAAGAAGACCTGAAAACTTTCAGAAGCAATAAAATATTTGATAAACATTGAAAGATAATCTCCAGGAATTCAAGTCTATGGAAAATAAAACAGGATACCAATGAATTGATAAATTTGTTAAAGTTCAACAAAATCATATGTGGGAAAGGTGTGGGTATTCTCAAAGTGTTGGTTAGAGCTTCCCTATGTACAGCAACTTTAGAGAGCAATTTGATGGTATATACTAAAACCAAAGGATGCATGCTCACTATCTCACCTTTCACTTCTAGATATTTCCTGCAGAGAAACATTGCCATGTGTGGCTGCTCATTGACTGACAGCTTATAACATCAGAAACTCAGAAATGTGTTCATAGTTAGGTCAACTAGTGTATAAGCTATACAAATACTAGAGGGCTGTTTGCCATGTTTTCTAAGTTGAATACAATTATGAGACAAAAAAAGAACCACAAAAGAATTTCCCAAGAAGAAATGCAAACCAAAACTACAACGAGATACCATCTTACACCAGTAAGAATGGCACATATTAAATAAACTAGCAACAACAAATGTTGGCAAGGTTGTGGAGAAAAAGGAACTCTCCTGCACTGTTGGTGGGAGTGCAAACTGGTCCAACCACTATGGAGAGCTGTGTGGAGATTTCTGGACCTACTAAACATAGAGCTTCCATATGATCCAGCAATTCCACTCCTAGGTATTTACCCAAAGGACACAGAAACATCCATTCCAAAGAACACCTGCACCCCTATGTTTATAGCAGCACTGTTTACAATAGCTAAGCTTTGGAAACAACCCAAATGCCCAAAAATAGATGACTGGATCAAGAAGATGTGGTCCATATACACCATGGAATATTACTCAGCATTCAAAAAAGATAAACACATGCAATTTGCAGCAACATGGATGGCGTTGGAAGGGATCATGCTCAGCGAAATAAGCCAGAAAGAAAAAGAAAAATACCGGATGGTCTCACTCATAGCAGGAATCTAGAAAACTTAAATAAGGGACCAAGAAAAAGAATAACTATAAGAAAGAAAATCAACAAACAACTATGAACCAGAGACACACTATGGGGGGTGGGGGGCGATGAAAGGAGGGCTTGGGGTCAAAATAAGGGGGTTGTAATTGTAAGGGGCACATAAAAATAAAATTTAAATAAAAAAATAAAATAAAAAGAATTTCCCAAGGAGACAAAGATCCCTACAAACTCAAACAAAAGGCCTTACAGGATGCACACCAAAGTGTAAAGTTGCCTCCTACGAAAAGAACTGGCACTCAGTATTTCATTATACTTTTATAAAAGAAGCCAGACAACACAGCCACTTGTGAATTGAACTCTCTTCAACGAGAAAAACTGAACAGATCCGCTGTGAACACGGTGATGTGTTGCTGGGGCTGTTGCGCACAGACAGATCTGGGGGTGCGGATGCGCACGTCTTTGGGGCGCAGAGAGCAAGTAGTTAAAAACCTCAGAGCAGACGCGATCGCCTTGGGTGTGGGGGAGGAGCAGCCCCAGGCGGAGGGCGAGGTGGGGGACGGAGAAACTTAAAAAGGGGGGGCTCACGAGGGGGGCCCCAGCGTCCCTCCAGAGGCCAAGGAGCGCGTTTCCAAGCGCAGAGCATCCCCAGCCGCAGACCCGCTAAGGAAGGCGGGGACCCAGCCCCGCTCCTGCACAAACAGCGCACGACGTTGCAATTAATGGGAACCGAGCCCCCCCAAAGCGAGGACCCCCCCCCGGGGGTGCGCGCTCAGAGGGGGAGGTATCTGGGGGTCACACGCACGCACGAGGTTACGCAAGCCCGGGGCGCGCGCGCAGGCGCACAGCCGCTCGGCCGCGTAGCTCCCAGCCCGCTGCAAGCGACTTCCAGGAGGGCGAGCTCCCTGCACAATGTCGGAAATGAACGTGCTGTGCGAGCTGTACGAGGAGAGCAATGACCTGCAGATGGACGTGATGCCCGGGGACCTTGAGTTTCCGCAGATGGAGGTAGGCGGCGGGAGCCGGGAGCCGTCCCCGAGCCCGCCCCGCGCCGGGGCCCCGCTGCAGCTGGAGGAGGAAGGCCCCATGGAGGAGGAGGCCGTGCAGCCAATGGCGGAGCCTCAGGGGGGCCGAGGCCTTGCAAATCGGGCCAGTCCCGGGGAGCATGCAGGCCCGATCGCGGGCCCCGACTTCGAGAGCGAGGATGAGGGCGAGGAATTTGATGACTGGGAAGACGACTACGACTATCCAGAAGAGGAGCCGCTGAGTGGTGCGGGCTACAGGGTATCAGCGGCCCTGGAAGAGGCCAACAAGATGTTTCTGAGAACGTCCAGAGCCAGAGAGGCAGCTCTGGATGGCGGGTTTCAGATGCATTATGAGAAGACCCCGTTTGATCAGTTAGCTTTTATCGAAGAGCTGTTTTCGCTGATGGTTGTCAACCGTCTGACCGAGGAACTCGGCTGTGATGAGATCATTGACAGAGAGTAGTGAAATGCTGTTCAAAAAGAGGAGGAAACAGCTTGAGACAACCAACATTCCACTGTGTCTTGGGTTCATTCCAAATCGTTCCGTGCCAATGAGAAACTTGATCTTCAAAAACAAAAAAAAAAAATTTTTTTTTTTTATTTTGCAGAATGGAATAGGGCAGTGACTGCACCGTTGTGAAAAAGGATGAAAATTGTTGAAGAAAAAAGAAAAGGGATTTTGGGACTGTTTTCAAGAATGTCCTGAAACACCAATGGCTTTGACTTTGTTGTTGATCCAGATTATTTTTTCCTTGCAGTGGGAAAAAAATCTTTCCTATTTCACTGTAAGAGTCGTGTTACAAGAATAAGCCACGATCAAGACAAACTGCCAGTAGAAGAGTCCACCGATGTTAATTGCGTAAGGAAAAGTAACATATCCAGTTTAAGACATGCTATCTCTGCATTATTTGGACTGAAAGCCTGTTGAGAAAACTGAAGATTCCACTGTGATCTTTCCAAGTGGCTTTCGAAGGCTAAATTTTGAGTGTAAGATAAACTGAGTATTCTTCGTTATCCCAAAAGAATAAGCAAACCCAAAAAGAAATATGATCTTGTGTACTTTACCTTAAAATGTGTTTCTAAGAGCATCTAAAATTTCATGTGTACTTGTATCTTAATCCTTTATAAAGCTACTATAATCTGTATTTTAAGAAAATTCATTGTGTTGACCATTTTTTAAGGTCAAAAATTAAGATGGTCTTAATAGAGTTTCAGATTTATGTAAAAGTACAAAGAAAACAAACTATGCCTCCCTTAGTAAGAGAAATTTTGTTTTACTTGCTATCTGTTTTTCATTTAACTTTACAGGCAAAAGACTGGTTGAACTTCATATGGTAAGAACTGTTAAGTGAAAATTGTCAAGTAAAAGGAAAGCCCTGTATTTGAAAAAGACTTTATGAACAATTATGCTGTCAACCTTCAAAGGTTTTAAAAGCTGCCCAGAAATGCCCCTCAGTGTCTGGTCTCCCTGTCTCCTCCTCTAATTAAGCTTGTTATTGGTTATGCACCAGCATTCAAGATAATAAAATTTCTTGTTCTGTGTATTTTGTTTGTTTGGCTGATAATATTGCATACCTACTTCCTCTACTACTTTTCTTTTTACAGTTGTGTTCCTGCAACCATTTTATTATTTAAATTTAACCACTGTTTATTAGGGAAGTGCCCCAGCATCAAATACTCAATTTACAAGTGAACTTGTGGAAATGAATCGTAATTCCTACAAGAGAATTTGCCAATTTAAGAAAACCTGCCTTGTTTGTTCATGTTCCTGTGGTTACTTCATTAAAATGCTGTCAGACGGATGTGTCCAATATATCAGCAGGTTTTATCAATAAAAGGATACCAGGTATTCCTGTTCCATTATGGCAGTAAAGAATACATCCCAAGCATCAGGACAACTCAGAGGCTTATTTATGTTATAGTCATCCATTTTAGGAAGGGGAATTCTTTTCTGCAAAATATGGGACTGACAAAGGATGATCATTAAAGTTTGGTGGACAGGAAGAGAGAGTTGGGAGAAAGACTAAATAGGAGGTAAAAGGTTGGCACTTAACCATCCATCTTAATCCTATTGTCTCCCAGGCCTCACTTCTTTCATTGCACTTTCAAACCACTTGCTGCTGCAGTCAGATGAAGGTGTGGATAGGTAATTAATTGCTTGTATGATGGGAATTAACAGTGACCTGGGGGGTAAGGGGTTATGGGAGGGAAAGGGACACTAGTGTGCAAAGAATTCACCGGTTACATTTACCTCCAAAGAGGCCACACTCAGGAGGTCTACAAAGTGGTAGGTGTTACTCCTTTCTTTTTGGAACAGAGTAAGAGGAGGGCGGAAAACCACTCCCGTTGTCTTTGAAGCTCTTGAGAAAGACCTGGACTCTGCAACTGAATCGTCTCCCATTTGTTGGTCTTAAAAATAGTAACCTGGTACATTTCATTCTTTATGCAGAATAAAGTGTTTTTTTTTTCTATTAAGAAAATAAATGAGCAATAATCTCCAAGAAATCATCTTGACCAGTATTAATGACTAGTTTGGTAGTTAACTGCCTGAGGCATAGCCAGAGGCCATTAAGACTCTGTAGGGGGCGGGGGTGAGAAAATGTGGGGGCTTTTGGTTTACCAGGAATTAACTATAGGTATGAATCAAAACTTCCTAAGAAAAGAAATAAAAGTTACTCTGGATGATTCAAAAAAAAAAAAATAGTAACCTGGGAGACAACTGAAATTAAAGTCATTCTTTGCTGAAGACAGAAAATGGTAACACTTTAACACCTCGTTCAGGGCTATAAATTCACGTGTACTTCTTTTAAATGGTAAAGTTATCAGTGGGCTCCATTACTTACTAACTCTCTAATTCGGCCTCAGGGTCATGAACTTAAACAGGGATAATACATTGTGAGAATTAAATGACGATGTACCTATATATCTCTATATGGATAGATAAAGAGGATTCCTGGAGAAAGCCTGATCCTGATTTTGTAATGGGTGAGAATGTGGAGTGGGAAGAGGGAATTTAAAGATGCTTATGAGCACTTAGTGTGAGGCTGTCCTAAGGACACAGCTGTTTGATTCATGCTTATAATTTTAATTTCTTAAAATGAAGACCATCTCAGGCTTCCCTGGTGGCACAAGGGGTTAAGGCGCAACCTATGAAGCTGTCTGCAGCCACTGCAGCAAGAGTTTCATCCCCGGCCAGGGAGCTACCCAGGCACAGCAGACCTCTCCTGACTTGCCCGCTGCTCCTCTCAGCATTGTATTTCAGTCAACCTGCCTGTTCTGTTCCCCACTCTGTCTCTGGTGAATCCTGTCACTCCCCACACCTCTGGCTTGTACCCCAGTTCTTGTACACATGAATCTTTTTTAAAAAAGGCCTTCTCATCCAGAAAGAGCCCCAAAACTCCCAGATTTCTTTTTTTTTTTTTCCCAAAAGTGAAAAATCTGGCAGCCCAAGAGCTCTAGTAACAAGGGAGAAAGTATTTGATTCACCTTTACATCAGGAAAGTGTCCTTTCTGCCACATTCACTAGTGTTGTCTCCCCAAATATAGGCCAGGTAACACTATTTATCACTATACTTGCACCACTATTTTTTCTGGTACCTGGACAGTTGAAATCATTAACTGCCTGGCCTCTAGCTAGTTGAACTTGTCTCTCCTCAGGGAGATTTAAGAATGTCTCCCTGTTTGCCAGGTTTACCTTCTTTGTCTCTCTATTACCCTGCTCAATTTTAGTTGCTGTTAGACTTGGTGGCAGGACTATAGAAACAAACTGAGATGAACATTTTTACTTAAACCTCTAAAAGGCTATATTAAAAGAATGTCAATAAAGTCTGTTGTTTGAATTTTTTTTACAGGGATGTACCAAAGCCCATGTGATTTTCCAAAGTGCATGTTTCCTGTGTCAAAATATAGTAAGTTTTAAAAATTGCAAGCATTATGTGTTTGATATAATTTTTTTTTCTGAGGTTCTCTGACATTTACTGGGGGTGAATGGTTACATTCTTGATGTTCTCTGTGATTGAAGACAAATGTGAACCATCTGACCCATAAATGCCCTTTGATTTAGGAATGTGTCTATAAACTTGAATCTGTTTTATATTTTCAGTCCAAAGTATAATTTAGAGGTTAAGATAGCGAGGAGGCATCAGCATTTTTTGTATTTGTCTTAGAAATTCAAAGTAGAACTTTCTTTAAAGGATTTAAAAAATCCTTTTGTCATGCTACATCCATAAGTCACTGCTCTGTTGCCTTCATCCCTTGGACATGTTAGTTGCCTTTTTGATGGACTGTTTATGTTTTTTGAATTGAAGTATCCAGATGCACATCTTTTCTTACCTGTATACCCCATCCTTTATTTCCCCCAGGTTTTGGTCCCCACTCTAGTAATAGGCTAACCACAATCCCATTCCCTGCCACCCAGTGCAGAAAAATTATTAGTCTCTCCCAAAGGTGCCTCATTGCTACAACTACAGAAGCAGAAATCACACATGCCCACTGCTTAAAATTATAGGTGGCAACACCACCAATAGTCACAGTGGTCTGAAAAAGGTCGTGAAGGCAAAGAAGTGCTGAAAATAAACTAGGTCCCCTACCACACACACCACAACTTGATTCTTACTGAATTCCCATTCATTCCTGTCACCTCTTGGAAAGAGTCATATTAAAAATTGTCTGCTAGACAATTATAAATCAGAGACATCCTGCAGGGGAGGAGGAGGGAGAGGGATGAAACGGAGGGAGGGAGGAGCACAGAGGACTGTGTTGATGGTGCACGGGTGCCTTGGGAAGTGAATTCTATGGAGATGCAATCTGAGGGGGTAGGGGGAAGCAAATATTGTTTAAAAAAATAAAAATAAAAATAAATTAATTTTAAAAATCAATTTAAAAAATTGTCTGTTAGATTCTACACATAGTCGTATGACTTGATGGCTCTAGCTTTGTCTACCTTTCCTCCCCTATAAGACTTTGAGATGATTCAAGGGCCCCTTTACTCAATGAGATCTCATAGCTGAAAGCATTGCACATCCTTGATACCATAAATGAGAGTGAAAACTAAACATAAATTTTACATCTATTGATGTCTTACGGGCACATCATCTGAAAGACTGAATGACTGTTCCACAAAGCTATGTGCAGCTTCCCCATACAGCCCCAAATGTTCTGCTGTCATTATACCAATGATATCACCTCTTTGGAGAACCAATCAGGACACAATTAGACAGGAATCTATTTTGAACAGTTTCATATTAAGCATGTTCCTCTATAGTGTTTTATACTACTGTGTAAATAATGTTTTATTCTGCTTTTGATCTTAGAAAATAAAGCATCTCTCAAAACCATAAGTGAATTTTGGGGGCAATAAATAGAAGTCAAAATGTATATGAGTACAATTACATGTAACTAAAAATTTTATAATTGTATATATTATAATATGCTTTCACTATTAAGTACTGAGTCTACGGAAAAAGAAATGATTGAGAAGTCTGTGAGAAGAAATGATCGAGTAAATAGTAATAATAAGTACCATGTGCAGGATACTGTAATGATAATTCATGATCTCATATAATCTTCTAAACAGTCCCAGGAAATATATACTATGGCTAAATCCATTCCCTGTGAAAATCTAGGAATAAGTACTATAATCCTCATTTCATTGAGGAGGAAAATTGAAGCTCAGAGTAATAAAATAACCTGCATGTTAGTGGCAAAGCCAGGATTTCAACCTCTTTTTGACCTCAGATCCTCTTAGTGTTTTGTCACTGCATTAAACTTTCCCTGAGTCCATAAGCCACAGTACTCCATACAGCAGAACCTTCAGTTCACAAACCTCAAATAACAACATCTTAACACACACAAATAAACTGACATAAGGAATTTAGTTTAAAGAATAAAAGTCAAGTGCAAAAGAGTATCCCAGTTTAAGGTACACATTTAGCTCAACGCTTATACATCTTTAATATCTGCTTCAGCAATGCTGTTGTTTGATAAATAAGGCTCACCATGAAAATTCAGGTATACCACACTATCACAAGTCATCAAAAAGAAAAAATATGTATATTTATGGTATCATTTTAGAAAACCTTTCAACCTCAAGGATTAGAAGAAAATATTTTTTGCTTAAATTTCAGTTAGCTAAGAACATTAACCCTAACAGCACCCTTCCCCTGTGTCCTTCATCTGCACCCCCAAGTCCAACATACAGTCTGTCAGTTCTGGTAATGATACTGCTTTCCATTTGGGGAGGGTAAAGGAGAGTAGTCAATGACTGACTCAAGGATGTGTATGCCAAATAGTATTTATTATGTTCTTTGCACCTTAGTTCTTATCCCAAAACCAATTAGGTAGGGACAAGAATGCCCCCAATTGAATATCTCAATGATCAGTTGAAATGCTGTTGTAATAATTACTGTTATGCATGAATTCTTGGCAGAATTTTTCCCTATCTCTTTTTAAATTACAGAGGCAAGCTGTCTGAAACATTATTCTCCTTATTATGTGTAGGATCCTGTAGAAAAATAGATAACAAGTCAAACTATAAATGACATTTGTGATCTTACCTGTTGGTTGTCGAGATTCATCAATGTGAGGCTGCAGGTTGAGATGATCAGTTTTATATTCATTCCCGAAAACTGCAGATTACTTTTGCCAAGAACTGTTGATTGGAACTTAACTGGAGGCTTTAAAAATAACAAAACAACACTCTTAGGTTATGGTTTTTGTTACAGAATGAATGGTTATGCTTTTTAAAGGGGCCACTGCCCATATTCTTCCTCTGTTTTACTTTACATAAATCAAATGAAATGGAATTATTTTTAATAAAATGTTCTTAATTGGAATGCAGTAAGTTCTTTAGTAAACAATAAAATTTGAGCCCTTAAAACTTTTCTCATACAGTCCTTCTCCCCAAGTGTTGGGGACAGGCTTTATATAAAAGGAATTCCAGTGAGGGTTTGGACTAGATGAACTCTCAAGTTCTTTTAAGCAGCACAATCCTTTTTTTTAAAGGTTGTTATCTAGATTTATCTTGACAAATTAAGAAAATATGAAAAAGACAACATACCAGAATGTTTGAGCCACAAGAAAAACAGTGCTAAAAAGGATACTTTTTAGCTATAAATGCTTACATTAAAAAAGAATGATCTCAAATCAACAGTATAACTTTCCATCTTATAACAACTTTAAAACTGTAGAACAAACTAAACCCAAAACTAGCAGAGAAGGAAGCAGTAAAGATTAAAACAGAGATAAATAATACAGAGACTAGAAAAACAAGAGAAAATCAACTAAGCCAACGCTGATTCTTTAAAAAAAAAAAAAAAACAATAAAATTGGCGAACTTTTAGCTAGCTAGAACAAGAAAAATAAAGAAGACTCAAATTACAAATGTCAGAAATGAAAGTGAGGATATTACTCTGTATTCAACAGAAAGAATTTTAACAGTACTGGGGACAATTGTAGATCAACAAATTGGATTCCTCTAGATGAAATGACAAATTCCTAGAAACAGAAACCCTTCCAACACTAAATCACAAAGAAATAGAAAATATGGGTGGACCTAAAACGAGTTAAAATAAAAAACAAAAAACAAAGAAAGCTATAAAATAATATGTTGTGTTGATAAGGATGTGGAAAAATTGAGACCTGTGCCTGTGCACTCTTGGTAGGAATGCACAATAGTACAACCATTGTGAAAAATAGCAATGTAGCTCCTCAAAAAAATTAAAAATAGGGTTACCATATGATCCAGAAATTGCACTTCTTGTTGTATATCACAATGAACTGGAAGCAGGAACCCAAACAGATATTTGCACATCCATGTTCATAGCAGCATTATTTACAATTGCTAAAACTTGGAAGTAACCCAAATGCCCATCGACAGATGAATGGATAAGCACAATGGGATATTATTCAGTCTTCGGAAGGAAGGAACTCTGATAAATGCTAAGTATGAGTTTATCTTTTTTGATTGCTGAGTAATATTCCACATCTTCTTGATCCAGTCATCTATTTTTGGGCATTTGGATTGTTTCCATAGCTTACCTATTATAAAAAATGCTGCAATAAACATAGGGGTGCAGGTATCCTTTTGCATTAATGTTTTTATGTCCTTTGAGTAGATTCCCAGGAATAGAATTGCTGGATCGCATGGAAGCTCCATTTTCAGTAGTTTGAGGAACCTCCACACAACTCTCCATAGTGGTTGGACCAGTTTGCACTCCCACCAACAGTGCAGGAGAGTTCCTTTTCCTCCACATCCTCGCCAACATTTGTTGTTGCCAGTTTTTTTAATATGTGCCATTCTCAATGGTGTAATATGGTATCTCAGTGTGGTTTTGATTTGCATTTCCCTGATGACAACAGATGTTGAACATTTTTTCATATGCCTGTTGGCCATTTGCATTTCCTCTTGCAGAAATGTCTTTTTAGCTCTTCTGCCCATTTTTTGACTGCATTGTTTACTCTGTTTTTGTTGAGTCACAGCAACATGGTTGGAGCTGGAAGGGATTATGCTCAGGGAAATAAGCCAGAAGGAATAAGAACAATATCGGATGGTTTCACTTATAGGAGGAAAGTAGAGGAAATAAATAAGGGATCAGGAAAAAAAGTAATTATAATAAATTAAAAAATCAAAATCAACAGGCAACTATAAATCAGAGACATTCTACAGGGGAGGACAAGGGAGAAGGATCAAAAAGGGGTGGGCAAGAAGAGCACAAAGGACTATGGTGATGAGAGTTGGTGAGTTGGTGGTGAGACTCTCACGGGGACTACACCTGAGAGGAGAAAGCCTATAGTGTACAAAAATGAAGAATGAGGTAAAATACATATAAAATTAAAAAAAGGTAAAGAGACTGTGATTTAAAAAAATAAATGAATGAATAAATAAATTTTACATCTGTCATATGAAACATCAATAAATAAATGCTAAGCATGGATGAACCTTGAGGACATATTACAAAGTCAAATACACCAATCTCAAAAAGATGAATATTGTATGATTTCACTTATACGACTTACTTAGAGTAGTCAAAATCATAGAAACTGAAAGTTTCTATGTTGTCAGAGAATAGAGAGAGAGAAGAAAGGGGAGAACTATTGTTGAATGAGATAGAGTTTCCATTTTGCAAACATGAAAAGAATTGGGGGGATGGATGGTGGTGATGGTTGCAGAGCAACATGAATGCACTTAATATCACTGCACTGCCCACTTAAAAAGGGTTAGGCTAGTAAGTCTTACTTATGTGCATTTTACCACAATTTTTTTTAAATTGGGTGAGGAAAGAGTATAAATATTGAGTGCTTAGAAGTATCCTTGCATGAATGAAGTACTCAATAAATGCTATCAAAAGAAATTATCTCAAAAATTCCTTTTTTTCTATATAAGTATATTCTTTAGAATAGCAATAGTTTCATTTGTTTGATTTTCTTTTGTTTTTGAGGCATGGACTCATTCTGAAATGCGTCTGTTCATTGGAATCAGCCCTCTTCTGGGACTCACTCAGTTTGAAGCATCCTATTCTCAGAGGTGTGAGGTGCAGAAGGAGGCTAGCGGCTGAGGTTCTGTTAGTGAAACTATCTTAGGGGGTTCTAATAGAATTCAAAGACATTGATCAGAGTTTTTTATACCATGAGGCTCATCTGAGTCATTGGATGACATTGAGCTCAGCCCTATGCAAAATGATGAATGGAAAGAAGTGAGGCAGGGTGGTATGGAAATAGAGCACTAAGCTGGGAATTTGAAAACCTGGCTCAGACAACTGCTTCTGACCTTGATCTTCCTAGTGATTTAAGGCAAAGCCCATGTCTTTTCTGAGCTGCAGTTTGGTAGCTGGGGAGACGAAATTGATGGGCTGGGAGAGCTCTAAAAATTCCTTTCCTCTTAAACATTCTACAATCCTATAATTTATATTGTTACTTTAAAAGCCTTTGCACCTCTCCTTTGCATTCGTCTAGGTAACTAAACATTCTAGGATTGATAGTTTAATAGTCGTAATGTTAACTACCACCCCCACTGAATATTTAAACTACTCCAGACACTGTTAGGTATTTTGTAGATGTCATTTCATTTAATTGTTATGTGACTCTATAAAGTAAGTGCCCTTTGCCCTCATTTTATAGATGGGAAAATCAAGGACCCAAAAGGTGAAGTCATTTGTCCATGATCACACCATCAGTAGGTGGCAGAGGCAGGATTTAAATTCAAGTGTATCTAACATCAAAAGTTGTACTTTCTTTCAGAGTGAAAAGTACCAGCACCCATATTTCCATCTGAAAATAGGTCAAGGAGTCAAAAAGTCTAAATGTTAAAATGCAGAATATAACGCAACGACTTAATTTTCAAGGAACAAGAACAGTCTCATAGAGATGAGATACCATGTCACAAAGTGAGAAAAAATTTGGAACCCCAATTCTGACTTGCAGCCAGATGCTTTCCCCACTCTGTCTCTTTAAGCATCAGCATTTCAGACAGTGTCAGGCAAGTCAGAATACCCTGAGGGACAAGAACAAGATTGAATAAAGCTCTGCTACCATGCCAACGGCCATTCTGGACCCGATGCCCTGTGCTAGAATGAACTAACAACTATTTTTATGTTCTCTTTCCTATATTTAGGAAAAAAGAAAAGAAGGAAACCACACCAATATTTACCTTTCGCTTTTTAATGGTTCTGGTGGCCCCAGGGACAGCATCACACAGGCGACTTATTGCTTCCCTACAGAACAAAAACCATATAAATAAAGTCTTAGTGTACTAACCAGCAAGCAGCAAATGCTCGATAATGTTAACAAGTATTATGACTAATATGTACACACAGGACAGAGAGTCTGACATTAATGACCTTCCGCCCAGCTGCACAAATCACTGAGATGTATCCTGCAGTTCAAGCTCAGTAACTCCCTAATACTGAGAAATTGCTTCACAATCAGGAGTCCAGCTATTCACGTTCCTCATCTCTTTTCTTGCCTTGAATTTTCAAGTTAAGTTTTTTTGTGTGTTGTTGGCTTTAACAATGGAGGGACAGAACGTTATTGTCTGGGAAGACTTCATAGCTTTACCTTTAGCAAAATCCTTTCTCTGTTATGAATAAAAAGCACCATAGTATCTCAGCACGAAAGACAATTAAATACAAAGCAACCGGGCACCAGAGGAAGTTTAAAAGGATCAGGAGAGAATTGAAGTTCAAGGTGGTCTCAAATGGAGCCTTATTGACTAAGTTACTGCTAGAAGCCATTGAGCTTCATGTAATTTCACAGAAGAAAAGCAAATCAATAACAAATTTCCTTCTTTGCTTATTTTTCTGCCCTTACTATATATTGCACTTCCTGAGAGAAAGGCACCACTAAAATAAGTAGTTGCGCCTTAATGGAAGTGGTGAATGAACTGGCGCCCTCCTCTTCAGAAATGCAGTTATAACTAAGAGCTTTTGTCTCTGGGACTCTGAGCCTTCCTAACCCCCCTCAAGCTTTCACTCAGTGTAATCTGAGCCTCCCCCTTGTGGCTTTCAACACATATATTAAACTTTTCACAAAGCAAATGGAAATCTTGAAATTCTTTCCCAGATCCCTTGGAGATTATTGTTTAAATTGGTAAATTGTATTAACACACACATACACATGCACACATGCACACTTGCAACATGGTATTAAGGTTTATATATGTTTGTGTGTGTGTGTGTGTGTAGTACTTCATGCAAGTATTTTCTGAGATTTTTTTTTTTTGATTCCAAAAAGTGGAGCAATGCAGCCCCATCAAAGAATAAATAAATAAATAAATATTCTCTATAAATAAATTATATATATAGTAGTACTGACCAATGTTCTCAGTGTTCTTCTAGAAGACACTTTAAAAGATAAGTAGAATTACCAAAGATTTTAGGCATCATTTTGGATTTTTGACATGTTTTAGGTGGTCAGATTCCCATTTTTGTAGATAAATCAAACTCTTCTCCAAGGTATTAGCTTGAACAATTTTTGCATTAGTACCTGCATCCAAAGCTTTTTGGCTTATCATATTTCCTCTGAATTTCATGCTGTGTTCCTCTAGGATGTCAACTTTTATGTCTCTAGTCAAACAGAGAGATGGCACAGAGGGTTGGGCTCTTTCATTTGTACAGTTGACTGATATCTTGCATCATCTTAATGATTATTCAATAAATAATGAGATTTATATTAATGATCCAAATTGGCCTTTGGTGCAGCTCAAATAACTAGTCCAGCTACCCAGCTATGTTGCTGGTATTTAAGAAAGAAGTATTTGTAAGAAAGGTATTATCAGACCCTTAACTCCATGAAAGCCCACTGGGGCACTTTTGTGTGGTGAGCTCGCAATTAACATTTGGAAATGCCAAAGGAGGGCATTGATGCTGACAAGTATGATGATAGTTATTATTAGGAGTTGTTATTTTTTATATAGCACTTCGTAATTTGGGGAAGTATCTCAGGCATTGGTTTCTTGCTTCTTAGACCAGCTGTCAGAGTCCTCTAACAAAAGTAAGGTGAGTTTGAATGAAAGGGAAAGCTTTATAGGATGAGCACCTCAAGCATGAACAGTCCCATTAGAGTTTGGAAATTCCAGACAGAAGGAAAAGCATGCACAAAAACACCAAAACTTAACGTATGATATGAGGGGAACTACAAACACTTTGATATTGTTGGAGTTGAAGAGCTGTAGAGTAAGAATACAGTAGAATAAGCGCTCAGAGATGGGATTCAAGTCTGAAACCTTTGTTGTGTAAAGGACAGATTGTGCATATTTTAGACTTTGCTCTGTTGCAACTGCTCAACTCTGCCATTGTCACGGGTAAACAGTCATAGACTATATATAAACAAAGGATCATAGCTGGGTTCCAGTAAAACTCTATTTCTAAAAACAGGCAACTGGTCTATTTGGCCCAAGGGCTGTAGTTTGCCGACTCCTAGATTGGTTAATTTCACACAAAAGGAGATAGAAATGGTTCAGTTTTAAAAAACAGGAAAATGTTCACATTCATTAGATTTTTTTTAAATTTAAAATTAAAGCACCTACAAGATATTTCACATACAATAAATCAGAAAAACAAAATTACAAAATACAGTGTTGGGAATGATGAAAATTATTCCACTTCAGGTAAATTCATCCATTTTGGGGGTAAGTAACACAATCTTCCAGTGAACAATTTGATAGAGGATGACAAATGCAATAAAATAAATTAAAGCTTTTGATAAGGGAGGGAGAATTTGTAACAGAATAGCTCAAGACATATAAAAAAAGAAACACTTCTTTTAAGGTAAAAAAAACAAAGTTTGTGATATAGCTATAAAACATATCAGCTTAAGCAGTGCCATTTGGGATGGTAAGGATAAAGACTATCTAAATATGAAGGATGGATCTATATAAATTAGTTGTGGGGGAAGCAGAACTTGGAATGTACACATATTAGTAGCAGCTATGTAATTAATTCTGTATAAATAATGATATAAAAAGAGATTATAAACAGTAATTTAGTATTGGTGTGTCTCTGTGTGTGGCTGTTTCCTTTTTTTTATCCAATTGATGTAAACAATGAGATGTTTTGCTTTCACTGGGCAGTTGATTGCACAAATAATCTTTTTAAATGTTCACAAGAAAGTAAAGTAAGTTTTCTCAGCAGGAGTTTTGCTCCAGTGCTGCATCAAAATGTCCCAATGGAGAGTGACACAGACTTCCCATCTTTTGCCAACACCCACAGAGAGGTGGGACACTGTTCTTACTTCTGGTAATAATGGGCAGCTGGTCACATTTCTTTCTTCTTTTTTAAATTAACTTATTTATTTTCTTACATCTTTGTTATTTTTTGCACAGTATTTGATGTCTCCCCTCAGGTGTAGTCCCTGTGGTTCTCTCACCACATCACTCTTGAACCATCACCATTGTCCTTTGTGCTCTTCCTGCCCATGTTTTGATCCCTTCTCTCCGCCTCCCCTGCTGGATGCCTCAGATCTATGGTCAGCTTGCAAGTTTTGTCTTTTTCCTGACCCTTTGTTTGATTTCTCTATATTAAACATATAAGTGAAACCACCCAATATTTCTCTTTTTCCTTCTGACTTGTTTCTCTTTCTTTCTTCTTTATTTCTTCCTCTATTCCTGCCCCAGCCTGGCCTTTAACGCCTCCATCTAAATCCAGATTTATCTTTTTCAGTTTATTGGGTAGACTTGCCCATTTTCATTCCCTGGAATTGCTTAAAGAAGAAAATTCTTGGCTTTAGCAATACTTTCACTTTAGAAATTCCTGCCTTTAGAAGGCTGTCCAGGCTATTACGGGGCCTGGGTTCTGACAAAGGAGCAGCTCCTATTTCATAGTCACACCCGCAGAAAACACCTTATGCTCATCATCTCATTGACTTAACAATCTCAAGGCAGGTGTTATACCCCCATCTTATAAATGAGGAAACTAAACTTTAGAGAATTTAAATAATGCACGGACAGAACAGCCTGCATACTCAGGTCTGACTGCAACACTCTCCCAGGGGGGACCACATTGCCAGGTTCATGAAAAGGAGGGACACCCAGGCTCCAGGGACTGGGGGAAATAGTATATTGTTAGTTTAAAAACAAAGATTTATTTTTATTTATTTATGCATAGAAGAACTGGGGTATAGGCCAGAGGTGTGGGGAGGGGGGGCGGTGGGGGGTGGGGTGTAAAAGAATTCACCAGAGTGGGGAGCAGAACAGCCAGATCGACTGAAATACACTGCTGAAGGGAGCAGCAGGTGAGACAGGAGAGGTCTGCTGCGCCATGTGTGGGTTAGTTCCCTGGCCGGGGATAGACTCAGGCCATAGAGGTGATAGCACTGAGACTTAAAGGCTAGACCACCAGTGATGCAGTGAAATAGGACAGGGAGGCCTGTATTTTGTTAGATTTTTTTCTAGCTGGCTTCCCCAGTATAGTGAAGGGCTCCTTTGCCAATCCTTATCCCAATAAGAGGCGCAAACGGCCAAAGGAATAAGGCAAAGTGCAGAGGACAACTCTCGAAAAGGCTCTCATGGGTTCCCTGGCTCTTTCCCAGACCTTTGCCTCTGTAACCCCTTCTGGAAGAAGAGCATCCAGAGTCCGTCATAATGCAGTGTGGGCAAGCATACACATGTATCCACAGGCACACTCATTTAGAACTTTAAAGTCAATTTAGGGGGCCTAAAGTCAATTTAGGGGGCAGATTGAGAGCAGTGCTGTGCAGCCTCCGCCGGCCAGGGAGATTCTCACATGGCACAGCAGACCTCTCCTGTGGGCTGCTCCCCTGCTCCCCTCAGCAGTGTCTTCAGTCCTGTCTGTTATGCTCCCTGCTCTCTCTGGTGAATTCTCTCACCCTCCCACGCCTCTGATCTGTACCCCAGTTCTTGTATAAATAAATAAATCTTTTAAAAAAATTAAATAAAAATAAATAAAGTCAATTTAAGCACCAGAACTTTCTTGATAGACAACTCTGCTCAAAAGGGAAGAAGAGAGAAATGTGCCTATGAACGAGTTTTTAAATTATACACCCATGTTCATAACAGCATTGTTCACAAGAGCTAAAACATGGAAGCAATACAGTGTCTATCAACAGATGACTGAATAAGCAAAATGTGGTATAGACACACAATGGATATCATGCAGCCTTAAAAAGGAAGGCAATATACTGCACTATACTACAAAATGGATGAATGTTGAGGACATTATGCAAAGTAAAATAAGCCAGCCAGTCACAGAAAGATAAT